AAATATTTTTTTTCCTAACTAAACATGTCCAGTCTAAAGTTTCTCTCAGGTAAACAAACAAGTACTCATGCCTATATGGAAATAGAGGTCAGAAAAACTCTCAGGAATAAATAAGGATATCTGAATAATTGGACTCAATAATAAAAAAAATAGGGGAAAAAAGAGAAATATATAAAGAGGTTACTATATTTAATTTGCCTTACTCTAAGAAAATGTTATTTTAAATATTCCAAACATACACTACGAAAAGTGTAATACATCTTAAACTTTTACTTGTTAATTTACATCCTATAATACAAGGCATTTTTAAAAGTACAGTAGAAAAATAATCACACCATAATAAGCATTTTAAACATACTTTATTAAGTAATGCAGTCAGGTATGTAATTTTAAAAAAGCTGGGCAATAAAGTAACGAGAAGTCCACATTATGGGCAAGTGAAGTATCACGTGCGGGTATTTTTCTTTTTAAAGGTTGAGGGGAAAAAATTGCCTAATAACTAATAGGCATTCTTTTACAAGGACGCAGACACCACAGCTAAAACCGTAAAACCGAGGGGCTCCTTCTAAATTCCATGTGCTTCAGTATTACACGAAGAAGCGAGGCGGATTTTTTTTTTTTTTTTTATAATGGCGCAGGCTTCTGCTTAAGAAGGTCACCACCGGCAGCAGCGATTCTCCTTCCATTTTGTGCAAACGCCTTGTTGATGAGAGAAAGTCCCCTTGAAATGCGCTTCGCGGAAGCTTCGCTACGGCGGAAAGGCTCGGCTGGCAGCGGGTGCGCGGGACCCCGAGCCCTGCCCGCTGCTTGGCGGCGCCTCTATAAGCCCGTGCATTGCCTTTGCAGCAGGAAGAGAGGCCGCTTCTCGGAATGGCCGCTGCTTCATAAGAGAATATGGCTCCTTCCTTCCCTTTGTGTGTGTGTGTGTGTGTGTGTCGGTGCGCTCTGTACTCTGGCGCACACACTCAGCCATTGCAAGCAATGCGAACGGGGGGGGGGGGGGGGGAGAGAGAGAAGTGTCTCGTTTCTCCTGAAGCCCGCCAGAACCTCTCCGTTCAGTTTTATTTTTATTTATTTTTTTTAAAAAGCCCCATTAAGTCCGGGGCGGGGGAAGAGAGGGGGGGTTGCGGTGGGGGGGTGAAAAAAAAAATAAAGGCCAAAAAAAAAAATTTCACCTGCGGCCGATCTGGACTTTTAAACGGTCGCCGGCGCTCTTTCTCGCCCAGGGAGAAAAGGCGCCTTGAAAAAGTTCCCCTGAACTGCGCCCCCGCCCGTCCGCGCCTCCCCCTTCCCTGCCTTGCGCGCAAGCCAGCCCTCCTCTCGCCTTGTTTTCTCTTGCTCTACACACGGCTCTCGTCAGCCATGTTACAGCAAGCGCAGTTCCCGAGGTGATTTATCGCCCCGAGGCCAGCAACGCCCAGAAACGCTCCTGCAATTCAGCATCGCGGGGCTTCCTGGCGGGCGAGGCGACCCCCCCACCACACACACACACACACCGCGCCCACTCCCCATTTTTTCCTCCGTTTTCTTTTTTTTTTCTTCCCCCCCCTTCCTCGTTCGACCGAGCACGGCGTCCGTGTGGAGTGTCCGCCGCTTTCTCTCCCTCCCTCCCCCTTCACCAACCAACCAACCCTTCACAGACGCTGCAGCAATGGCTAGATGGCTCTGTATCGCCGTGCTATGTAAGCAGCTTATTCACACTTGGACCGCTTTTCCGCCGCCTCGCTTGCCGGGCTAAAACGGATCCGAGTCCTCTTCCTCCATTTACACGGATTTACGGCGTCGATCCCGATCGTGACTGTGGGGATTTTGGGGCACGACGGGGAGGGGGGGGGGAGTCCCAGGATTTATGGTCCCTTTTCCCCCACTTCTCGAAACTCCCCAGGCGGTTTTATTTTTAATGACTTAACCGCCTTCCCGCCACCCTCCTCCGCCTCCCGAGGTGACGAGGGAAAGTGTGTGCTCGGTCCCAGCCCGATTTCCCCCCTTTGTGTGTGTGGCTGTGAGGAACGAATCCTGCCCCTCGCACCCCAAAGCCTCACCGTTGCCAGGCTGGGAGCGTCGGCCTCCTCAACTCAGGCTGGCTTCTTAGCCGAGGACCCGCAATATACTTACCCTGTGCCACACTCTCGTACACTCAAGAACCGCAGTTCAAACAAGTCGCAAACACGCTCACACTGGCCACCACGGCTGCCTGGATCTAGTATGTAGTCCAATGCACTGCAATGGCTGTGAGCTGGATCGATACGCAGCCTCCTCACTCTTCTCGGCACTGGTAACATTACTCTCAACACAGGCTTCTTGTCATTGGCTGCCGCCGAGGCAGGAGCTAAGCGGGTTGGAGGAACACCTTCCATTGTCCTGACCAGAAGAGACTGCTGATTGGTCGCGGCGGGAGATACGTCACTTGGGATTGAAAGGGCGCGCAAATGTAAAAATGAGTGGAAGAGAGATGGCTGAGGCGGGATGTACAGCTCTGAGGCTGAAACTGCTGCTCTAGTACAGTGTATGAAGAGAGCGGTTCATAGGCAATGGCATAACTTTCAGTGCAGGCAAAAGGAGCCTTACTGCTTTAGCCGCACCGTCATCCGCACCGTCAAATAAACCCTTTTGAAGCCTGAGTAAAGGGTTCTAAAAACACTCCTAACACCAAACCAGTCCTTGTTATTAAATACAGAAAACAAAAATAAGGGAATATTTAGTGTGATGCCCTTGTGCTAACTTTAACCAAGCAGCTCATGGATCTTAAGTATACATAACTTGCCAGCTAAATACATTTGGTAGTTTACCTCATTAGATCCAAAATAATTGATTTTACAAAATAATCCCATTTTCTATATGAATAAACTGAGGTCTATTATAAACTCTGGGGGAACACATCTACACACTAAATACATATTGTTACTATAAAATTCTGGTCTTAATACTTTTTGAAAACTACATTTTATACAAATATCCTAGGACAAGCTTTTACATAAACTTTATTTAGGTGGACAGCATATAACATGACCTAAATAGGAAATCTCTGAAATCCTTATATTTTATAGTCATTCAAATTCTCACTGTGGACCTGCAGCTCAGCTGTGGATTTAAAGACTCTTATTCACAGAAGGTACACTGAGATTCCACTTCAAGTCTTATTTTAAAGATTAAAACTTGCTATATGGGTACTTGCTTTTTTTTCATAAGCACAATGAAAATGAAGTTATATTCTAATTTTATAATATAAAGACTTCTAGTTTTCAAAATTTGTGCTCAAAATGCAAAATGCAGTAGTTCTAGAATGACTTATCATTGACGATTTGGCTTTCCACACTTCCCACTTGCTTCCAATAGCTAATATGTTTTCATATGCAAAATCCAAGACCTCTGCAGTAGTTTGGATAGGTAATCCAAAGCATTACATATGATTTTAACAATTTATTTTACTCTCACTTCGTCCATATCCACGGAATTATGATTGAACATATCCAATATTTTAAATATGGGAGATGGGGGAGTTTTCAATGCCCCAAGCAAGAAAACAGTCCAGTTCAAATCGAGATAAACAAAAATTTGCTTCAAGTATCTTGAATTTCTTCCAGGTAAAAAGGGAAAGCTTTGTACTTGTGACCATCTAGTTATTTGAAGCTAAATCCTACAGTATATAAAAATTGTTAGATCTATAGTATATCCTTAATATTATCCTTGGAAAGGTTCAATGTAAATTCCTGAAGGCAGTGCTCTAAATCTCCAAGTATGTCCCAAATGCCATCCTCTGGATGGAGGCTGGTTTACTTCAAGAACCTTGTGATTGCTAGCAATTTTAATTTTTTTAAATAAAGTAACTTTATCCAATGTCCCTGGTTCCCTTAATAAATTCTGGCTAATTCCTATTAATCTGGAACCAGACCCTATTGGATAAACTCCCAACATCCTATTACTAAATATTTTCCTGTCCATGAGTTCTGATCAAACTACAATACCTCTTAAATTATAAATCCTGGATATGGAAAGGCAAAATAAGCTTAATTTAGCTCCTAACAGTAGTAGGCCTTGGAGTTAGAATCTGAATCTAAGTCTGCAGCCTTCCATACCCTGTTTCCCCCAAAATAAGACATCCCCTGATAATAAGCCCAATCGGGCTTTTGAGCGCATGGCAATAAGGCCAAGCGCTTATTTCAGGGTTCAAAAAAATATAAGACAGGGTCTTATTGTCAGGGAAACACAGTATATTTTACCATTTTGGAATTACCTAACCTGGGAAGAATAGTCTCAGAGGCCTAAATTAACATCTTTCCATCTGCATCCTTGCCCTGAAAGCTCAGGGATAGTCAAAATGGTCGACCAAAATCAATAAATACAGTATAGTACAGTATATAGAGACCTATATAGTAAACTGTTATACTCCTGTTGGTAAACTTCCCTGGCTAACAAGATGAATTCTTCCTTATTTGTGGACAGGCAATCTACTAAGAACTACTAAATTCAAGCCCAACAGTCACAGCTAAGAGAAAGGAAGACATATGTGAGGCTGCTACAGGGAAGAAAGTTGGGGAGAAGGACAAATGGACTGGGCAGGCATATGACAACTAAAGGAAAGGAACAGTAGTGGTATGCTGCACTTGAATTCAGGTACAATAGCAACAAATGGGAGGCAAGGGAAATCAGGCTGACACACTGGGAATGTGAAAGAGGAAGAAACTAGGAGCAGTACTATTTGCATCAGCCTTGTCCTCATCATCTTGCACTACTCTTCCAGATTCTTTCTCAGACAAAACCTGGAATCAAAATAACCCAGGTTTTGTTTTGGCTGGAGCAAAACTAATCCAGAATTGTTTTCAGAATTCCAAGATAAAACATACTTTTTAGTGCACCAAGGTTTTTTCTATTTCATAGACACCTATATCTAAATGATAACAATATTGGGGTCAGAGTCTGTAATATGCAGCGATTAGAAGTTGTCACCAGCAAAACTGCTGTGCTCTCTTCACTTGTGGAGTTTTTATGTTACTACTGGGTATAGTTCATTAATATATTTTATTGACTATAACTTCCATTACACATCAATCAAACCAAATTACAAGATGGAAGAAATTCCAGCAAAACAATAATGTTGTATATAATCATAATCAAAATTTTCCACAAATTGTCAACTGTGAACCTGACCTAACTGAAGCCATTTTGACCGCTTCAGTGTTGCCCCACTGGAGCTGAGGGATAGAGATGGGAGAATTGAAGGGAACATATAGCCAAAACAACATATTTTCTCTTGGGAACCAAGGACTTTCTCACACCTGGTCATAAGAAGGCGGAGTGATGCCACCTGGTTTCCAGCCCGTTCTGTGATTGGACCATGTGACTGATTGTTTTGAGAAAGTATTTATTTATTGAATTTATATCACCACCTATTCATACATGGCAAATCAAGGCGGTTTACAAAATATAAAACCTCATTTAAAACAATAAAACTAATAAAAAAGAATCAAATAAATTAATATAATAAAATCATCCCCATCCCCTGCCATGGCGACAGCACATCACACAAGCCATTTAATGGACTCCATTCCGCTCTGGTTTCCCTAGGCCCGCTGGCAGAACCAGGTCTTCAGCGCCTTCCGGAAGAGTGTTAGATTAGGGCCCATTCTAATCTCTGGAGGAAAGTAGGGAAACTTTTAATTAGGTGAAAACCGCAGGAGACCTCAGAGTCGGTTTTCACCAAATACGTGCCAATATGATAATTCCAAATAAAAGTATTTTTTGAGGAATTTACATGCCTCGGAGTCTTGCTTGCTATGGATTTATTACTTGGAACCCGACACAAATCTTGCATAATTTCATATTTTTACTAGATATTTTCTATTATTATATCATCATTCCCAGAAGGCTCTCTAAAATAGCCAACTGTTTACAAGTGTCTTATAAGGGGAAGGTCCAAATTACTATCAGACAAATTATTCCACAGGAGGAAGTGGGGTTCATAAGAGAATGCTTATTTTTGAGCTCCCTTCCCACTAGAATTCCTAGTGATTGGGATTACCAAACATATCTGATTGGTGCAGATTATTCAGATAGTCTTTGACATATGGCTGGTCACTTAGTGATCCTTTGAAGTTATGACAGACCCCAAAAGGGATTTATGACATAAATCTGAAGTTCTGACATCTACCCTCCAGTGAGGTGACTACATTTGTGGCATTTGACAACCAGCCTGCATTTACAGCCATTTGCAATGTTCCATCACCACAATTTACAATGTTTTGCTGGAAATCAGTGTTTCCAGCAAAACCCACCACATAGCGAATGTGTTCACTTAATGACTGCGGCGTTTGCTTAATGACCACTGTAAAAAAGATAATAAAATCAGTTGCGGTGATATCTGACCCACTATATGACCATAACTAACGGCCATAATTGTGGGCTCAAGTATAGTCATAATTCGAGGGCTACCATTATTTGGAGTGTACAGCATCAAAGATATCCACGTTCCAAGCCATATAGACATTAACCAGCAGCTTGAATTGCATCCAGAAATAAACTAGTAGACAAGTACAGCTTACATTAAATAGGGATTAAAAGGTTGTACATGGTTTAATCCATTAGTAACAGGCAATCATATTCTGTACCATCTGAAATTTCTAGGTGGGTTTCGTATACAATGTGCTGCAGTAGGCCAATTAAGAAATGTCAAAAACATGAGTGACTGTAATCAGAATCCCCATTCCAGGGAATACTCCTTTGCACAATCATTGACTGACATTGCCCAGGTAGGAAGGAATGGAACCATAACTGAACAGAATCACAGCAATTTGGAAGGTTGATAATATTGAAAACTGAAGGATTCAATAGTATGAGGAGAATCATGCTCCCACCACCCCATTCTATTAGAGGGCACTGATGAGACCAAATAGTATGATTTTTATCACATGCCTAAGCATCCTGGCTTAAAAGTCTTTATATAACCCATTTCTTTCAGAATTATTTGTAGCTACCATACCACCTTTTAAACAACTTTCTCTAGAAAAGAAAATTTGGAGACTGGACAACAATCATTTAATAAAGCCAGGTGCAAAAATGGCCTCTTAAAGATGGGCAAATAAGTTCTTCTTTTAAAATTAATACTTAGTTTATTGTTTCCTTCCCACCTCCATGAAGAAAAGTGGAGAGCTGTACAAGCAGTGATAGAAAGAGGGTAAAGCTAATGTGATAGTAATAATCTAATTAACTGTATATTGAGTTGAGATTAGGGAGCTAGAATTGGGGAATGATTATACATGCCAATCTCTTTTCTTCTATAACAGCTCATCCTCAGTTCCTCCCATATCTCCCTCAGCTACTCAGTAATAACCCATTACTGCTTTTCACACTTTCCTACATTCATCTAACAAAACACCCTCAATTTTACTTCTTTTATAGCACACACCTCTAACCCATCCTTTCCAGTGAATTTTCATCTCATTCCAAAGTTGGGAGCCCTCCCTGTTCTCTCACTTTGAGCGGGAGCCTTTCTTCTCCATTCCTCATCTCCCACCAAAGAAATTAAACTGTCCTTTTCATCACTTTCTTTGCCATACCTCCAATGTTCCCTTTACTAAGTCCCTTTACTTATTCACACCAAGCTATAATCCTTGAATAAAATCAGGCGGAATGGAGTCCATTCACCTACCTATACATCCGGTACTCAGTTAATTCCCAGTCACAATTTTTCATTTCTTGTTCCATTTATCGTTCTTTGTCTTCCTGCAGCACTTTATTTATTAAATTTATATGCCGCCCATCTCATTGTCAAGTTGTGCTGTTTGTTATTTCCACTACTGCTCATGCTGACTTCCAGTTTTCCTCATGATGGATGCCAACTAGTCTCCACCCAGAAATACACTTATCTTTGGACACAGCAGTCACTGCCACTGAAAGCTTAATTTGTGGCCTCTCAAATTAGTGCTTCCAGCCCAGTTTGCAAAAAATGATAAAATTTCCAGGGCATGTACCTGCTTTCTTCCTGTCATCTTGACAGAACAGGTATACATGTTATTGATTATTCACTCTCTGGACTTGTTGCTGGCCCTACTCTTATGTCTGCAGAAATTCCTAATGCTAATAGAAACTCTTTAAATGCAAACATTAAAGATCTGTAAATATTTAACATAAAATATATTATATTGGACAGGAAAAGAAATGAAATACAATGAATATCCATTCCTGGCATTCACAAAAGAAAGGCTTGAATGAAACAATAGGTTTTCATGAACACATCTAGAATGTCAGAGGAAAAACAGAAGAGAACACAAAACTTAAATCGTGAAATATTTGATAACCCATCAAAATCTCAAATTCAGTAATGTTTTAGAAAAATATCTAAAACCTATCCTGTGTATACATTGTTTTTCAAAACAGGATGTCCACATTGAGGCCATCTGTTGCCTGAGGATGTAAAGCTGTTTTCATCTTAAATTACTTCTCTAAACATGCATATTCAAAAACATGTCCCATTGTAACCAGTGATACCGGTACACATCACTACGTCACCGTATCAGTACAGATACTGTAAAAATTTACAAGAATTTTGTGTTGCATTGATCCTGAAAGGCTTGGGCAATTTGTTTATAACTTTTAACCTATTACCAAAGACAAAGTAATTTGTTTTGTAACTTTTGACCTATAAAGAAAGCTCTTTTAAATTATACTTAAAAGGAGGACTTTCTGGGAATCACAGGTAAGTTTTCCAAAATAGTCTGTCAAACTGAACATATTTATTATGGTAGATTAATAAATTATGAAACACTGTCATACAGTTTCCATATATTGTGTTTCTTTTTCAAGTTGTGTTTGGTCATTAAATGAAAAAACCCAGGCTATCATAATTTTGTTAATTTTAAAATATTTAGTTTTATTAGATTTTTATCTCATCTTTATTACTTTATAAAGAAGTCAAGATGGTATACATACATAAAACTCCTTCGACTTCTTTTTTCCAGCAATAACCACCCTGTGAGGAGGACTGGTTTGAGAGAGAGTGACTGGCCCAAAGTCATCCAGCTGCTTTTTCATGCCTAAGGTGGAACTACAATTTAAGAGTCTTGTAGTTTCTAGGCCAGCACCTTAGTTACCACCACAAACTGGCATGTATGCATTCAGTTACCGGTAATTTGATTTTGTTAAAATCCACATGCAAAAGCAAACATCAATGTCAGAATAATAACAGGGAAATGTATTTTGTCAACATGTTTGCTGAAAAATCTTTATATTGGCCAATTGTTTTGTGGGCTTGATGTTGGTTGTAATCATTAAATTCTTCAATGGCTATCTGAGGGACAAAAATTAGGAAGGGCTTATCACAGATCTGTTATAGATTCTTATTTTTTTGGACACACAGGATGAGATCTGTAGCAGAATTTCTCCTGGACTGAATTCCTTTTAGAGTTGCTGTAACTCTCCATTTAGTCTACACTCAAGAAATATATCAAGATGCATCTTTTTTTATTTACTTTTTTGAACAATTTAAATGTGTTACTATATGGTATTATTTTATGTTTGTGTTGTTACTTTGATTAAATGCAATTATATATAGTTATCGTTTTTGTAATGTTTCTTGAGCTTTTGATGAGTTACTTATATGGTATCAATTTGTGTTATTACTTTAATTAAATGCAGTTAAACACAGTTATGTTTCTTGAGTTTTGGTTCTAAGGTAAAAAGATAGAATACAAATTTAAATAATAATAGTTTAGACCTACCCACATGTATGTCTGAAGGAACTTATTCTCTGCTTTCTAACAAACATAGCTCTCAGTTAATAGCAATAGTGCTCAGACTTATACACCGCTTCACAGTGCCTTTCAGCTCTCACTAAGCGGTTTACAGAGTCAGCATATTGCCCCCAACAATCTGGGTCCTCAGGTTACCAACCTCGAAAGGATGGAATGATGGGAATTGGGGCTGGAATTTCCATTGCTAATAGATGTAGTCATTTGTGACCTCTTGCCAGCTTTCTCACTGACTTTGCTTGTAGGGAATCAACAAAGGAGGTTGCAAATGGTGATCACATATCACTCATTCAGGGCTGTTGAAAGTTTGAATACACAGTGAAAAAGTGGTCATTAAGCAAAGACCACCTGTACTGACATTTGTTAAAATTTTCAAAGGCAGCCTTCTAAATAACACAGGAATTAGTATAATGGGTCCACATTGTGCATTAATTTATGTTTCTTTTACATGGATTATTGAAAAGGCTGTAGGCACTAGATTCATAAATTACATTAAGTCTACAGACCAGATTTTATAAATGATAGTATCTAGATTCATACAATGCACTTGGACAAATCCAAACAAGCTACATTATTATTTAACACAATTTGTGAGTCTAATCAGTATTACAACATATGGATAAATGTTGAAATTGTGGCAAGTAGTATTACAACAAAGGAGACAAACATTTCACATTACATTTATATCAATAAGCAAAAGTGGATTTAGAAGTACAACCAACTTTTAAATAGATTTATTTACTTTTATATGTATTTATTTTTTGGGCTCTTAGGCTGTAGTAGACTCTGACTGCATATATACCTGATAGAGCAATCAAATTAAAACAATGCATATAGTAAAAAAAACAAAATATCTCTGTACTGTTAACTAATATTTCACATATAGATGTCCCTTTGGAGAGAAGAATAAGTTAACATATCAAGTCCCAAATGCTAGGCATTTACAACTTCTAGAAAACTCTGGACCATGGGGACACATCAGATTTCATATCCAGTACAAATCAAGTATTACATCCATGATCCCATAAATTTATTCTTAGATATTCTGTTTTATTTATGTTATTGTTTAGCTTATTAGCTTTATCCAGTCCATTATTACTTATCTAAAGACTGTTTTTACTATTTTTAGCATCAACTGCATAATATTATGAAACAATGTATTAGATATTCATGAATTTTATGTAATTCATGTGGCTATTTCATAATTTATTTTATGCAATACCTGTACTGGAAATCTCACAAAACTCAAAAAGACTAATAGCAGCAATTGAAGAAAAGTTTCTCTAATTAGGAAGAGAAAACGCTCCAAATTATATGAGAAGTCTGAACTGCTTTTGGTGACATAAACTTCTGTTAAAGAGTTTTATTCTGTTCAACTTTCAAGTTTTCCATCAAATGTATGTTTAAAGTTTCCCAGTTTTCTGTTGACATAAAATCCACAAATATAACAGACCACTATACTTATTTATCCAATTTATTCCCCACCCTGGTTACCACAGGGTAACTCTGGGCGGCTTATATTATTGTAATATTGTATTATTGTACAGTAATGTTAACAGAAGAAAAGTTGGTATTTCAAAGAGTTCTTTTTGCACAATTTCTTAAAAGTATCTTTCCATGAAGGAATAATTGTATATTGTGTCACCATGAAAACGTCAAAGTGAGCAGTTTTAGATTTTTTTTTGTCCCTAATCAAATCTTAATTTAATTAGATATTATTTTTAGTGAGTAATGCTATACTCTTACAGCCTATGACCTTAATTGTTCCTGCTCCTAAGTTATTTTGGTCATTCTTTTTGGTATTTTCTCCAGTTTTATAATGTTATTTTTGGGGTTAGTGAACTGATCTGTATATACTATTCCAAGAACAGCTGCACAATAAATTTGTATACAGGCACAACAATACAAGCGGCTACTTTTTTTACCCTTTTTTCAAGAAGCCAAACATGAAATGTACAGTTGAACAGCAGTTATAGTTTTTAATAAAATTATGTACCAGAACCTCATTACTCCTTTCCTGGTCAGTCATTGACAAATCAGATCCTATCTGTATTTATTTAAATTGGGAAATTGTGTGTTTAAAATACGCATTCCCTAAATTTTGAAAGACCTTTTTGAGACTGCTTGAATTATCTTTCACTTTTAGCTATTTTAAATAATGTGTCATATTGCCAGAAAACCCAGAAAAACCATTCATTCATGAATTTGAAAAGACCTACTCCCAAAACAGTTCCTTGGGAAAGATACATGGGAGGGAGTTAATTTTTTGTCAACTAGTGAGAACCTTCCATTATTACTACTCTTTGCTTTCTATTATTAAAAGGTAAAGGTTCCCCTTGCACATATGTGCTAGTCGTTCCCGACTCTAGGGGGCGGTGCTCATCTCCGTTTCAAAGCTGAAGAGCCAGCGCTGTCCAAAGATGTCTCCATGGTCATGTGGCCGGCATAACTAAATGCCAAAGTCCCTTATTATTCTACTTGCATTTTTTACATGCTTTCAAACTGCTAGGTTGACAGAAGCTGGGACAAGTAATGGGAGCTCACCCCGTTACGCAGCACTAGGGATTCGAACCGCTGAACTGCCGACCTTTTGATCGACAAGTTCAGCATCAGGTATTAATCTGCATGTATTTTATTTATTTATTATACACAATTCTATCACCACTATGTATTTGTACTGTGATATCTTCTTTTTGATGTAAAAATAATTAAAATTGCATAATCTTTTACTTCATACTTAAATCTTCCTATCTGTTTTTGAGAAGAAAGTAAAAAAAAAATTATAATACAAATTGAAAACAATAAAAAAAATGTAAGGGAGATAAACCTGAATCAATAATATTGTACTGCATAGCTTAAATTATATTAATTATATTTTCTAGACACTGAAATAACACATACCTGTTAACCTCTCACAAAGGAATAGATTCCAGAATGTGAAAATTCTAATTAGATATGTTCACTACTGCTTTTTCGTTTAGCTGGCCATTGTGTGATTTTAGTTAGAAAAACATCTCTGACTAGCTTCTGTTATTCCTTATCCAAGAGTCAATACTATCCATCCAAAGATGGAAAACAGAAATTGGCAATCTACAATCTATATTTGGTACTTGGCATAAAAATAATCCAACTATTTAATTTTTGTAGCCATGCATCTCAACAAATGACACTAAGCATCCTACATCACATATATATCCCACCTGCTTTGGTTTCTGTTTTACTTTAAAAAGAACATTGAAGACAACAGTATAATCAGTTTGCAGAGCAGGATTATTGAAGAAAAAAGCAAGAAGTAACTGAGGAGTATTTAGAAGATATTACCACCCAAGCTCTACCTATGGCTCCTAAACCTCCCCTAGAGATTCATTTAATGCATTAGATGCATTACTGATTTCAAAATAATTGTTAAGGATTACAAAAGAAAGGGGAAAAAGTATGCACAATTTTGTTTGCAAGATCAAGTTTTTTAAAGCAACATTTGTAGATTGGAAAGTTATAAATAATCGATCATCATCAAACAATCATCAAATAAGTAAATAAATAGAGGATTACTTTTAAAGTTTTCTTCCTAGATCCATTTAGATTCCCTATTAATAAATCTGCAAAACTATACAATTATTTTTCTTATCAATCCTTTTTGTCTTCTTAGTAAGAACGGCATAAACCCTCAGGTGGAATGGAATGTGTCATCCAACTTTTTCAGGACAAAGTGACCTATTAGATGTTATTTTGGAATAAGAAATAGAGTTAATAAATGAATACATTTAAAAGTGAAGACCAAAAATACCAACATACAATGTCTGTCTGTCTGTCTATTTATCTATCTAGATTTTCCCCCAAAAAAACATTTAATTGTGAATTTGGAGGGGAGGGAATATCATCTTAAATTTACTAAGAATAACAGAGGGCAATGTTGAAAACAAGGGACTGGCTTGAGGTATAAATTGCTACCTGCTAAAAAGCATGGATACCTTTGAAAGTGAACTGGAAGATCAGCTGTTCCTTAAAACAGGCATTTGCCTGGTGAATGTAATATTGTTGTTATACTTTTATTTTTGTTATTGTCTCTATTTTATTTTATTTCCTTTACCTTTAAAAAATTCCTCTTTACCTTAAAATAATTACCTTTTTTCTTACCTCCCATTCATCTGGCTTTACTCTTAAATTTCTTTTTCCATTCGTGTTCTATATAGAAATCTATAGAGGAAAGAATGAGCAATTTATTTGTACAAATCCCAATGGAAACAAAGACATTTCAAGATATTACTTTCAAGTAAAAAGTCTTCTGACATCTTATTGACTGATACTTGTATTACAGCACACACCTTCATGGATTACAGTCCACCTCACCAGACACTTGTTATGATAAAGTTATCAACTTATTAAAGGAATATGAATCTTTAAAATAAAACAACTGATTTACATATTAACCATTTATGAAACATGTGTTTACTGCACTTTGTTGCAGCAAAATTTGTATCCGTATAAATTGTTTATATTCAGTGGTCGCATTAATTCCAATTTTCTCTCCAAGAAGCAAGTAGACCATTTTGGAGAAATGTTTACATTCATCTAGTAGGGGAAAAGTCCCACTGAAGTTATTAGAAGCTGTCAGTAATCCCATATGGGATTGTATTGATATTTTACAAGAATTAGCCTATTGTAATTTAATCCTGTTTTAAAATTTTACGGTCTCCTGGTTTCTAACCTGATATCTTAACCACTATACCAAACTGGGCCTTACATACAGGTACTCCTTAACTTACAACTATTCATTTAGTAACCATTCAAAGTTACAACAACACTGAAAAAATGGCTGGTCCTTACACTTACAACATTCACAGCATCCCCATGGCTATGTGATCAAAATTTGGACATTTGACAACTGACATGTATTTACAATGGGTGCAGCATCCTGGGGTCATGTGACCTTCATTTGAAACCTTCCCAGAAGCTTCCAGCAAACAAAGGTCAATTGGGAAACTGGATACACTTAACAACTGCATGATTTACATAATAACCACAGTGATTTGATAATGACAAAAAATTTGTAAAATTGCTTAAGACTCACTTAACAACCCAAATATTGTTGTAAACCAAGGACTAACTATAATAATAAAACAATTCCAGATAAATAACAAAAATATTACTCTGTCGTATTTTAGTTGGATAGGTCCAAACTAAGACTATAATTGTATATTTATGCTGAACTCAGTGGCACTTCTAAATAAAAAGATGTCATGTCAGCAAATCTGGGAACATCAGAATCCACTAAATTACAGACTGATTACTTAATGTCTTTTCTAGATGACCTAGTGAATTACTCCTGAGATAGATGAATAAAGATAGAAATTATCAAGCACAAACAGGAAATTTTCCTAACAAAGAATCAATATGATTTTTGTATACATACAGGTAGCTCTAGACTTACAGCCAAAATCGGGATCAGAATGTCTATTGCTAAGTGCAGTTGTTAAATGAGTCACATCCAATTTTACAACTTTTTGCTGCAGTTGTTAAGTAAATCATTGTAGTTAAGTGAATCATGTCATTATTAAATTAATCAGGTTTCCCCCATTGACTTTGCTCTTCAGAAGCACCCGGAAAAGTTAGAATGGTGATCACATGACTCCTGGAGGATGCAATTGTAAATACACGTCGAATTTCCAAGCGTCCAAATTTTGATCACATGACCATGGGGACACTGTGACCATTGTAAGTGCAAGGACTAGTTGTAAAAAGTCATTTTTTTCATTGTAATTTTGAACAGTTGTTAAATAAATGGATGTGAGTTGAGGGCAAATGTAAGTCCTTTCACAATTCACAACTTTAAAAATTCCTTTATTATATATTTATTTACTGAAAAAAGTACAAATTGGCTGGTTTCATACATCCTAATGGATCAATGTTTCCAAATCACTAGGGCCAGATACAAATATACACAAAGCCATGGCTCATATAATTCCATATGAACACTGGAGTTGGGTAGCCAATACATAAAAATAAATGATTTATTGAATAAAGCACAATTAATGGGATTCACATGATACTCTTAAGACACTGACTATGGTTTATAAACCAATATCTGTAGCTACTCAATATATAAAGCTAAAAACCAAATAAATTACATTTTGGCTTAGCATAACACATGAATTGGGATACAGAAATAAGTAATGAGATGACTAAGTTTGCAAACAACATCAGCTTATTAAGAATTACTAAACAAAAATAATTTGTGAAAGAATAAATATTAAAATGCCAAGCATGGTTTAGAATAAATAAATATAAAGTGAGCATATTAGAGCAAAATTCTGACTTCACATACATACTGAAGTAAGAATAACTGACCATGAAAGGGATCTTAAGTTTATGGCAGATAGATCAACAAAAAATGTTGCTTCGCTTGTGCTCCTGCTGTGAAAAAGACACAATACAAGTGCTGGGAGGTAATTGTGAATTTAAACTTAATCTGTCAATATTATAATGCTTTTGTACAAATCTATAATACATCCACACTTGGAATATATCTACAAGTTTGCTAGAAGTAGCACAAAAAGGATACCATATAACTGAAGAAGTTGCAAGTTGTCCAAGAAACTGGAACAACTACCCTGTGACAATTAATCATCCTCACAATCCTGTAAATATTTTCTCCTCACAATTCAAACTCTAAATTTTAAAGTTGAACGCCCTAATAGCTTAGATGCTGTAAGCTTGATAGTCTATCTTGATATGAAGCTGTCTGCACATTAACAGTAGCAGGAGAGGCCCTCTTGAAAATACCTTCACTTTCTAAGGTCCATTTCTTGTACACATAAAGGAAAGCCTTCTCTATGCAGGTCCCAAATTGTAGAACATACCGCTAACTCTTTTTCAGTCTGTTTTTCTAATTTCAGAAAAAGTATCAGGGTCATTTTCTTCAGTCAGAGCTTTACAGTTGCAATGCAGTTTGATAATGAGAGTTTTGTAGTGTATATTTTAAGTGCCAGTGCCTTCACTTTTGAGTATCTAAAAAAAAAAGAGGATATATACATACATACTGCTCAGGGGGAGCCAAAAAGCCCTACTAAGCAGGTATATACAAAAGTATGAAGGCTATTGCTTAATGCATTGTAAGCCGCCCTGAGTATCCGGAGAAGGACGACATATATAAATCTAACTAATAAATACATACATACATAACATTTCATGGACAGTACAATTCTTAATTACAATGTGAAATATTGTGTTTGCATGAGGGATGGGCAAAAAACTTTAAACAAAGTACAGAGAAATTCGTGGAGGATAAAGACTCCCAGTTGCAGAACAGGCGAGTATACATTCTGTTAGCCTTGTTTGCTACAGGCCCCTTTGCCCAAACAACTAATTTTAACAATTTACCGTTATTAAGAATAACTGACTAGACCTAATACATTTAAGGTTCCCAAACTCTGTGTCTGCCAAAGAGCCCTTTAACCGAACATCCAACTTTTTAATGAAGAATTCACGCACAAGTCTTAAAACACAAGAAATGCATAAAGCCTAGCCCCAAAGAGGGTAAAGGGATCAGTTTTAAATCACGTTATTTAAAAATTCATTTGTTGTTTAAAACTAGTTTGCTTGTCCAGTTCTTAACAAAATGACATAAAACGCCGAGCAGATCAAACTATATGTTTCCTCTCGGCAAACATATGGAACCGACCCGTTTTGATACCGTAACATGGCAATGAAAGAAACCCCAAAGCAAAAGTTTAGAGGAAAATACCTCGGGAGTTACTTTGCAGTAGATCATCCCCTCCGGAGGCTCAACAGGATTTATTAAATAATTGCATCTCTAGTAGGAGTATAGCTTCAAAGAAGCATACGGTATTTAGTAAGGGAACTCCTCCTCTGAAGGAATGGATCTGGAACCATGGCTTAAATCGGGAGTCTTAAATTTCCCACGCCCCAAAACTAAGAGGGGGGAAAAAAATCTTTTTTAAAAAAAAATCCCACAGAATAACTTTAGCATTATCGGCCTCTTAATTTCCCGGGGCCCTCGGTGGGCGTTTCCCAAGGAAAAAGAAAATTCAAACCGCCGTATTTTCCAGAGGGCCTTTTTCCTCCCCCCCACTCCCCCCCTCCGCCTGGCTCATAGGCTCAGAAGAGGAGGCGGGGCAGTTCGGGGCGAGGACTCTTTTTTCGCGGGTGACGGTTTCAAGAGGACTCGCCGGAAGTTGCACCAGGCCTGAGCCGGCCTTGAACGCGCTGCGAACGTCGCTTGGAAAGCGCAGCGGGCGGTTTTTCGAGGGAGGATTGACCCGGCGTGGCTTTCGCGGGCTAAATGCGTGGAGACCCAAGAAGGTGAGCTGAGCCCTTAAATCGTGCCCGGGTTACAGGTTTCCTTGGAGGGGAGGGGGGGAAGGGAGTCCGTGCTCCCGTTTTGCTACTCCCAGTTTTCACCAGGTTGCTGCGTGGTCTGGCGTCACCACGAGTAGCAGCGTGTTCTATATATACGGTGTAAGTGATTCCTTTGCCTGCGCTCCTCCACGGGTAGAGAAACCGGGCTTGGTGCATGCTGGAACACGGGTTTCATTGTGTCCCTGCACTGTCGTGTGTGCAGGTAGCTTTGGGCATAAGCAGCTAGGACGGGGAAGGAGTTTTCACCAGCATCAGTGTTCAAGATGTTCAATGTTCAAGTGTTCAGCTCTGTCCGACTGCAACTTCCAGAAGTTTCTGAGATTAGCTGGGGTCTCAGAGTGGCAATTCCGTGCACCTGGAGTTCATCGGGTGGGTGAAAACTCACCTGTCTTTTTTTTCCCCCCTTATGGAAGCCAGGTGTTGGCGTGAATCTTTTAAGGGAGAGCCAGGAATTCCCCGAAAGTAAACTCAATTGAACTCCATAGGATTGACTTCTGCACACCTGGTTTATACACGAGAGAGGATTCCACTGTTTTGCCAATTCCATCCTTGATATGCAGTGTATTTTTAAACAGCAACATTATTTTGGTTATGGTAAATGTTTATGGAGATTCTCAATCATTCAGGTCATGGTTGTCTCAAAAAGCAACTAGACTGCCTTTGTTTTTCCTTGAAGATGTTTCGCTTTTCATCCAAGAAGCTTCATCAGTTCTAACTGGATGGTGGTGGGATTGGAAGGATTAGCATCTATCAGAACGAATCCTTCTATCCTCCCAGCACGTCCAGTCAGAGCTGATGAAACTTCTTGGATGAGAAGCAAAACATCTTAAAATGAAAAATAAAGTCCAGTTACCTTTTTAAAAAGCACCTTTGAAACTATCCTGGTTAAAATATTTTTAAATTATATATATACTGCTCAAAAAAATAAAGGGAACACAAGCAGAAGACATCCGAGATCTGAATGAATAAAATAGCCTTATTAAATACTTTGTTCTTTACATACAGTAGTTTATACACTGCTCAAACAACTAAAGGGAACACAAAACTACTGTATGTAATGAACAAAGTATTTAATAAGGCTGTTTCATTCATTCAGATCTCGGATGTCTTCTGCTTGTGTTCCCTTTATTTTTTTAAACAGTGTAGTAATTATGTATACTGACCTTGCATCAGATATTTCCAGAGAAATATCTAATTATAAGTGAAACTTGGAGGACTTCAATTAAAAAATGATTATTGTGGACCTATTACATGGCGCATAAACATGTTGAAGAATACCCTTTTGTTTTTAGCATATGACTAGTGTGCATTGTTTTTACGATACTTTATCATGATATTAGTACTTTTGTTCAATTCTATATCCTTTAGTTTGGAGCACTTTACTAAGGGTATAACATATTTTCTAAAGACAATTTCACCACTGCATATTTACTACCTGTTTCTTGGTTATCATTGTGCTAATATAACAGTAATGAGCCTTGGTAGTACAGTGGTCTAAAGCACCCTGTTATTAAGACCAGCTGCCTGCAATTACTGCAGGTTTGAATCTCGCCAGGCTCAAGGTTGACTCAGCCTTCCATCCTTTCTAAGGTAGGTAAATTGAGGACCCAGTTGTGGGGGCAATAAGCTGACTTTGTATAAATATACAAAAGGATGAAGGCTATTGCTTAGCACATTGTAAGCCGCCCTGAGTCTCCGGAGAAGGGCGGCATATAAATCAATTTTTTTTTTAAAAAAGAGGACAGACATCGTATTGCTTCAGTGATGGTTAGACAATGCTTTTAAGTGATTAAGTGGTAGATGTGTAGCACAAAGGAAACTGGAAACAGGTACAAATAGTATTTTGTGCTATATGATTTTAATAGTATGAAATTGAATTCTTTGAATGCTGATTTATTCAATATGCAGGTAGTCCTCAATTTACAGCCACAATTGCAATTGTCATAAATATGAACCAGTTTGCCAAGTGTCCAAATTTTGATCGTGCAACGGTCGTAAGTGTAAAATACGGTCATAAGTTATTTTTTCAATACCATTGTAACTTTGAATGGTCACTAAACTAATGGTTATAAATCGGGAATACCTGTAATAGCTATTTATGTGTTTATGAAGTATATTCCTTTTCAGTTGCACAGTACTACTACTTAATCTGAACTGCAGAAAACTTTCAAGGAAATTAATACCCTTCAGTATGTTTTATATCAATGTACATACAGAATAATTGTACTTAATCTATGAAAATTTATAGCACCGTGTAGCCATATTCATTAATCCATAATATTTTCATATTGTTTAGCACAGAATAGGATTAATAGTACAGTTGTGATTCTTTGTCATCAGGGACATAGGCAAACATATTTGCTGTTTTCTGTCGTGTGTATGTTCTCATGATATTTATTTGTATAAATGCTTTCCTTTATGTGGTAATAAAGTACATTATTATATAAAACTGAGTGGAACCAATTCAGATAGCAACCATAATACTGAAATTGATTAAACATATCTGAAAATGGCATTTCTTAACATGCATCCCAAACATTATTACATTGGAGCAGTGACATTCTAATTCATCCTTCCCATGCCAGAAAGTGCATTAAAGGTGATTGGATTTTTAATATTTCATAGCATTCTTCATGAAACTATTGTGCTTGCTTTTCATATCCAACATCACTGTTTTTCACTTCCTTTAATTGTTCATTGTGTTCCACTGTGATAGGCTGCCAATTTATGTTAAGAAGCTCCAGTATAGCCATGTTATCTAACTTATTGTCGCATGCGCATACACACACAATATACTAGGATATAGTAGAAATCGCTGTGGTTCAATATGTACAAGATAAATATTTGTCAGTGTGTTTCAGGTAGATACTTTGTTTAATCTACAGTGATGATGATATTTATAGTATTTTCTGTCAGAAGTTCGCAAAGAAAGAATTGTAGCCTATGAGCTGGAGATAAATAATGCTAATTTTAATCAAAATGTTGTTCTCCAAACTGTAGTTTTGTATCTCAACCTTTAGGCTTCCAGAACTAGCACTGATGATGTTACCTAGTAAGGGTAATGAAACCCTGCAAGAAAACAAGCAAGCTCAGAGAGCACCAAGGACTCCTCATTTCAACCCTGAGCTACACATATTCTCCTTTACCTTCCAGCTTTGCCCAGTTTCTATAACAACAAAGTGTAGAGACAATACTCTTTTTAACATAGTAGTAGAGTTGTAACATCGGAATATTTATTTTTATTTTATTTTATTTATTAAATTTATATACTACCCTACTCCCGAAGGACTCAGGGCGGTGAAGAGCCAAGAGATAAAATACACATAATACAAATGTTAAAAAACCATTTAAAAATACATTAAACACTTTGGCCCATGAACAAATTTAAAACACCCCAGTTTATAAAACAAATTTAAAACAATTTAAAAGGGAGGTTAGGCCAGACCAGCCTGCTGGAATAAGAATGTTTTGAGGGCACAGCAGAAAGTGCGCAAATCCGGGATCCTCCATATCTCTGGGGGGAACTCGTTCCAGATGGTAGGTGCCCCCACAGAGAAGGCTCTCCCCTTGGGGGCCGCAGTTGACATTGTTTGGCCGACGGCACCCTGAGAAGACCCTCTCTATGGGAGCGTACTGGTCGGTGAGAGGATACTGGTGGCAGAAGGTGGTTTCGTAGGTACCCCGATCCTAAGCCATGGAGCGCTCTAAAGGTGGTAACCAAAACCTTGAAGCGCAACCGGAAGACCCGGAAGACCACCGGGAGCCAGTGCAGCTCACGTAGGAGGGGAGTCACATGGGAGCGCCACGTCGCTCCCGTAACCAACCGTGCGGCCGCATTCCAGCTGGAGCCTCCGGGTGCTCCTCAAGGGGAGCCCCATGTAGAGAGCATTGCAGTAGTCCAGGCGGGAAGTGACGAGGGCATGAGTGACCGTATGTAACGAGTCCCAATCCAGAAAGGGACGCAACTGGCGGATCAGGCGAACCTGATAGAAAGTGCTCCCGGCCACAGCCGTCAAATGCTCTTCTAAAGACAGCCATGAGTCCAGGAGGACACCCAAGTTGCGAGCCCTCTCCGTGGGGGCCAACGACTCGCCCCCAATAGTCAGTGATGGCACCAACTGACTATATCGGGACGTCGGAAACCACAGCCACTCGGTCTTGGATGGGTTGAGCCTGTTTCTCCCCATCCAGATCTGTACGGCCTCCAGGTACTGGGACATCACTTCAAGGGCATCATTGGGGTGATCCGGGGTGGAGATGTACAGCTGAGTGTCATCAGCGTACTGATGATACTTCACCCCGAAACGGATTATCTCACCCAGCGGCTTCACATAAATGTTGAACAGAAGGGGCGAGAGGACCGACCCCTGTGGCACCCCACATACCCCTGTGGCACCCCTGTGTCCTTGGGGTCGACCTCTGCCCCCCTGTCAACACAGACTGCGACCGGTCGGAGAGAAAGGAGAAATATAAATATAAATATAAAGAAATATAAAAAGCATAGCTCCTCTAATTTGAATTCTTAAGTCAATATGGCACAGGACAATCTTTATATGAAGAATCAAAATCTTCTCAGTAGACTTATAGTTTAAAGAGTCTTACCTTGTCCATTAGTTTGGATTTCTTGGAGCTGCAACCATTCCTCAGGAGAAATGAAGAAACACTGCTCTCCCACACAGACATTGCAAGGTCATGCTTGCCATTACATTGTGCTATGAATTATCTGTGCGTAGAGCATCTTAGTGTTACAGTTTTCATTTGCTGTGCATTGTGTGTACTTTTTGCACTAAACACCTTGCAACAAGGATATTGCATATGCACCAATAGACGAAAGAACTATACATCATGAGTATTAATTTACTTATAATAGTCATATAAGAAAGATCGATAGTTTTATATATTTATTCAATTTACAGTTTTTTTCCTATTTCATTGAACAGCAATCCCCAGTTTCTCAAATAACTTTCATTTTTATCAGTTGACATCTATATCAAGTGATGTCATTTATTTTGATCATCATGATTTTATATTTATACATTGATGCCACTTCCTGTGTTTTTCTTTTGCAAAATATATACATGTATTTTTTAGAACAATTGTTCCTGTTCATATTCCTGATTTATGATGAAAATCATAATGAATATGGAACCAATTCCAGATGTCAGCTCTTAAAGGAAATAAGAAATAATGCACATAGATTTGGTATCCTGCTGCAGAATAGGGCAATATTGCATCTGTGTATAAGACAAATAAGAGTTTCACATTTTTCACATACAAAAATGAGTAAGTAATAATAATAAGGCAGCAGCAGGCAGAATTTCTATTTATGGTCAGCCAATCTATATTAGAGAGGTTGTTGGAGTAATCTATCTCAGAGAGATATATATTTCCATATCTAATGCCTGGCATTGTGTATACATATACTGCATTTGTGAGTGCCATAGCATCAAGAACTTCAAAACCTCAGCCAGATATTTCAAGTACATCTAGATCTGATGCTTAGTTGAATGTATGTATTAATACATATCTTATCCTCTGTCTTTATCTTTTCAAATGTGTACAGAATTTGGAAGCTAATTTGGATAAGCCCAATGTACCTTCATAGGCATACGAATGTTCCTATTTTCATTTTTCTCCTATATAATTATTTTTAAGTTTAATGTTTTCTTTTTAAATAATATATTGAAATCTATAAGATTTCCTTGGAAATAAAAACAAGAAGAAAAGTATGTGTGTGTATGCTTGTATATCACCATATTAAGACAGACATTAGTTTACCCTTAACCATGGAAGCTCATTTGATAAAGCCAAGCTGTTTTGAGGAAACATTAGAGGAGGGAATGCTGTGCATGTCATTTTGAACTCCTGAAAGAATGCATGCTATTTCAGGGATAGCCTATTAGATATTTTGTTTTAGAACTTCAGTGGTTTGTCATTGACCATGTTTATTGGAATAGAGTCCAAAATAGGTGGAGGAAGCCTGTTAATTATCTCTAGACTATCTGAACTAAATAGTTCTTAGTAAGTTCCAGTTCATATTTCATTCTTAAGCACATAGTTTATATGTGAAACAGGCAATTGATAAACCTGGTTAAGGATTCTATGTACATTCTTTCATGTTTATATGCACAACCTAAGTATACATTTTATTCAAAATTGTTGAATAAAACAAATGTGGCAGTGGCATTTAGGCACTCTTAATGCATATATTGCATTTACTCACTCATATACTGCAATTAATATGGCATTAATTGCAGTATATGATAGTTCTGCAAGCAATTAATGCATTTTACCAAAGACAGATTGATTTATATAAGTAAACACTTCATAAGAAGAACACTTAATAGAGTTTTGGTAGTAATAATAAAATAATGAGCTCTAAAGCTTCTAAATTAATTTAGATATTTTAAATAGTTTTACTTAAAATATCAGTTTTACAGGACTGAGGAAAATATTACCTCAATGTAAATGTACTTCTTAGGTTCCTAGTTCCTCTTATGTTTAATTTTCGAGATACATTTGCTGTTCTCTTGATTATTTTATAGTCCTGCGTTATTCTACAGCCTCCCTATGATTATTTGTGTCCCTCCCTTTTTCACATTTCTTGTAGCTGTACTGCATTATATAATCCTTTTTAAAGTTACCTTGAAATCCTGATCATTATATTGGAGCTCTTGTAATGCTACACCATAATTAACGTTCATTAAAGCTAACAAGAAAATGATATGAAGCTAAAGATGTGACCACAAGCCTTCCTAAGCATAGTCCTAAAAAGCGGGTAGTATTGTGTGCCATCATGCATATTTATATCACATATTCCTGGGATAAGCAGAACTGGATCAGGATCAGCTGTCACTTGATTGTTAGGAGTCTTAAGGAATGAAGATGTCAATTGTCATCAGCCTCCTGATGTAATTAACATTCTTATGGAGAGAAAAAACATCACTCTCCTTCTAGATGAGACAAGAGCTCTGCACTGAACAAACTGAGGCCAGTTCTTCCTGTGATACCCTGCCTGATGTTCTCTGCTTTATACAGAAAGATGTATGCCATCTCCACCTTCTCTAATTGGTGGAAGTGCAGGACAGCAGGTTCTCCCCAGACCCTTCTTGATCATCAGGAATCTTTTTCTGAAATAGAGTGCTCTTCCCACTTGTATTTAGCTGGGGTTTGCCCTCTTGTATCTTGCTGGGGTTCTTGCAAAAAGGTTTGATTATAGGAGGAGTGGGTCTCAAAAAAAGGAGCTGAGGGTATTACTCGAGCGCCTGTGAGTTAGAGGAACAGGGCTATTGGGCCACACGAAATCTAGCATACAATGTAGGTGATTCTTTCTGCCTAAACCAACAGCATTGCATTAATAGGACAAAATGTGAAGTCCTCATGCATTTGGATCTGATAAAGAGCATAGGTAGTGATTGAAACATTCTCTCTTGTTTGTAAACACAGATCAAATGCAGTAGTATTTTAAAGAGCGTTGAGGTGATTAATTCACCTGTTTTGTAAGAGATGTACATTTCTAAGTTTAGTTAGGTGGTATTATATCTCCATTGTAGTGTATATCACATTTTCCTACTCTATTCTTTGTTATTTATTTTGATATATACAGTAATTAAGCACCGTCCTCTTATCCCATTCCCACACATTTCTTCTAGACTATGCTTTCTAAGAATTGCTATGAGAAAAATGCTTATGTAACTTTTTTTCTGTCCACTTTTTATTTTTCAGGATATATGGAAAGAAATCCTTAGGACTTGAAAATGTTACAAGTGACATGGTAATTTAGCCAGTGCCTGAGAAATGATGGATTCCCAGAAGATTGGAAATGGTTTGCAAGTGACTGATATAGGGACATCTGCACTCCACATGGTGGGGTATTTGGGAAAAGTCAGTTCAGTTCTTTTTCACATTGTGCAAAGTTCCTTCTCAACTTTGAGATTTTTTTTTTAAAAAAATGATTTTACAGGTCTAATTTTAATATATGACCTCTTAATTTCTTATAAAAATATTTTTTCCACGGAAATCTTACTGAAATGGCGAAAGATTTACTATTTTCAGATCTTAGTACAAATATATGTGAAAATATTTGTTCTACTTGATGAAATTTACAAGAGTTCAGAATTATAGTAATGTGTTATGCTCTATATAAATACAAGTGAACATTCTATAAAAGTCAAATGATCAATGATATGAATTGTTCTAACATTTATTTGTTTTACTGTTATTGATGTCAAATTCAGTGTTGCATTTTATAAAAATTATTTTGCAGCGTTTTGATCTTTCAGCTCAATACATGTGTTATCTGGTATTAATCTTTTCAGAATTGTAGTTCTGCTGAAGAAACTCCAGATGGATGCTGCCCAGCCTGTAAAAGGATTGGTTTGATGCGACACATAAGAAAATACCACATCAATTTTGAAGAATCTATTTTTCTGTGTGAAAATCCACAGGTATTTCAGTAGTTTGGGAAGTTATTGACTTAAAGTTTGTCTAACATTTCTACATTCTGTCCTCCTTAATCTGGATGCCTTTTGTGATAAACCAGATAATTATTGTTGTACTTCATCACTGAGTAGTTCACAGACAAGAATATCAACTATCTAGGTTCTATTAAGGTCGAGCATGATACCTTTCAGCAAAATGGTTTTCAAGAAAATCTACATATAGTGAGTGATATGTACAATATGAAAGGAAACTCATTTGAAAGCAAAGAACCCATTCCACTCCTATTATCTGTAGCATTCTTAGACTTCATAGATAATTTATAGATTAGTCTCTTAGTATACCTAAAGTTATAACGTCTCTTGATTTTTAAATGTAAAATAGTGTAGCTAATTTTTAGACACGTTTTTATATTAATTAGCATTGGTAAATCTGTGGATTTGTGTAGTTCCCCAACCCATTTTGTAAGTCCCAGAATTACTTTCCCCAATTTACGTAGATGGCATATAAAATAAAAACTAAAACTGATATTTAAAGTCTAAGATAAATTTAATGTGCTTATGTTGAGTTTAATTTTCCTAGACCACTCACAATACAAAAAAGTTGGCCCTTTTCCGTAAGCGAAGGAATCCTTAGCTTCCCTCCCTCCTCTTATGCCCCTCATGTGGTTAAGCATCTCTTAACTTATGGATATTAAATGTCTGCTTCAGTCCCTGCTTACCTCAGGTATATCTGTGAACATGAATCCTGCCTTTTACTACTCGCACCTAAAGTTTTATAGATAAAAAAAAGTTTATCAGAGAAAGAAGAATCCTTTATGGAGCCTTCACAGTGTTCGGAATTGTAGAGGCATGTTAGCACAAAAAATAAATTGCAAAAAGAAGAAGGAAGAACCCGAAAAGAAGGACGTATTGGCTCTTCTGATATTAAACCCATTCCCATCATTTACTTGTCAGAGTAGACTGGAACACTCAGTGAGAAAGAGGCAATGGTACCACTCTGGTTGTGGATAAAGATATGAAAAAAGATTGCAGCAATGAAAGGGAAGGCAGGTTAATCAGTAGAAAGAAAGAAAAAAACTAAAAAAGAGGGCGGCTAGAGCCTGCAGTCTGTAAAGTTTAACCTTGATTCAAGGAAATTAGAAATATCCTCCATTTATGTGGAGTTCAGGAAGGAACCAGTAGCAGAATTGTATTTCTAAGCATACAGATGTCTAGAAAAGTAACACTTAAAAATAGCCTTCAAAAACACGCTACCTTCCCCACCTCATAAATAATTTTAAACAGACACTCCATGCAAAGGAAATACTTTTATAGATTTGTTGCTGTGCAGTATCAGGGATGCTTTTTTGAGGAAAAAAAATTGTATCAGAGAACAGTACTGTTTAGAATAGACTAGGATTTTAATAGTTTTTAATTGGATGCCTAATTTCTGTACAGGAAATCCTCTACTTCCAAATTACAATGGCACTGGAAAAAGTAACTTATGACCAGTCCTCACGCTTACAACTATTGTAGCTTCCCCACGATCACGTGATCAAAGTTTGGGCACTTGGCAACCATATCTTCATGACAGTTGCCCCAGGGTCATGTGATCACCATTCGTAACCTTCCCAGGTGGATTCATTTAATGACCATGTGATTCACTTAACAACTTAACAACAACTAAACAATTTGCTTAAAAAGGGCTCTGGTGGCTCAGCAGACTAATTAACATCCACTTACATCTGCTGCCTGCAGTTACTACAAGTTCAAATCTCACCAGGCTCAAGGTTGACTCAGCCTTCCATCCTTTCTAAGGTAGGTAAAATGAGGACCCAGATTATGGGGGCAATAAGCTGACTTTGTATAAATATACAAAAGTATGAAGGCTATTGCTTAACTCATTGTAAGCCGCCCTGAGTCTCCGGAGAAGGGCGGCAAATAAATCAAATTTTAAAAAAAAAAGTGTGGCAGAAAAGGTCATAAAATCAGATGTGACTCACTTAACAACTGCCTTGCTTAGCAAAGAAAATTCTAGTCCAAATTGTGGTTGTAAGTTGAGGACTATGACTGTAGTTAATATTTCTGTGACTGTTTCTCCATTTCATTCCTGAAATGTGCATCATATGCTGTTAATCTACTGAGACTAAATGTAAGTGTAATGTCTTTGTTTTGCTTTTATTTCAGTGCATTTACCCTCTAGGGTCTGCACCACTAAGCACTATTATAATTCCCAGTGATGCAAAAGGTTATTCATCTCAGGGCACTTGTGGGAAAAGAAAGTTATTTGGCACAAACCTATTGACCTCTTCTATTGAACCATGCTTAAAATTGATTAGGACTGATGACTTGATGGACACTGAGGAGACATTAAGATCTGATCTTATTCCCAACTGCAATGGAAATAATCTAATTAGAACTCGGTCAGGGCAGTCTGATTTTTCAGAAGCCAAGCAGCCAACTTTTTCTGATGAAGCTGAATCCATCAACCAGAAAATGGGCTTGGGAGCTCAAGAACACTCACCAGAAGTCCTCAGTGTGCAAACACAGCTATTGTCAGCCCCTGAGATGGCTCCGTCAGTGTCTCAGGATCTACAACAAAGCAAATCATCTCTGCAAGAGCCTTTGTCGCTTCAGTGGAGAAATGCACATGCTCTCTGCTGGTTAGATTGCATTCTGTCAATACTGGTACATTTGGAAACATTAAGAATTCTGACCGGACTCTCCCAAAACATGTCGGTAATCCAGAGTCTGGTCACAAAATATAACGAAGCTGCTGCACTTGTGAACACTTGCCAAAGGGGTAAGCCCAATCTGGGAGCAGGAGGTTGTTTATTTTGGAGACATGTTACTTATATATTGTGGTATATATAAAAAGTAAAAATTGTTGTAATAGGGTTTATGGTATCCTTGTTTCCCTCTGGAATCAGATTTGTTTCTAGAATGTCCAGCAACCTTTAATACTGGGAAATGAAAACTTAGGATTCTTAAAAACCTTAGAATAATCAAATCAGCTCTAATGAAAGCTGGTCAGTTAAAAAGCTGTTAAGCTTTATTATTTTTTTTGAGGGTCTCATTTCCACTTTCACATGCCATTCTTACCATCTCTATCCTACTCCCTAAATAAACATATATTCCTAAAGCTCCATGTTTGCTGATCACTTTGCCATCCAGTATTAGCATCATATGACCAGATAAAATACAAATATAATGGTACTTTGATATTGAACATAATTTTCATTTAATCCTGTCATGACCTTGAATTTGTCCCAATGTAGCAAATATGCCTGGCATATAATTAATGTTCAGATTGATTTTTTGGAAATCCTTCTTACATCTATTTATCTGCTAAAGAACCCCTAAATGTTTGATAAGGAAATCCAGGCACATTAGAATGGATTCTGGGATATCTTTCAGGTATCTTTGAACAGGAGTGAGGACAAAACATAGCACGTCTCTGGCCTCTTCATCTTATAGAGAGTGATTATTAGTATTTGCAAACATTTTTCAATAATGCTAATATATTAGTAATCCTGTTTTTCTAATGGGTGACTAGGGAAATATCGGATCAATTTTTGTAGGATCCTAAGTTTCCTCAGAGTGCTGTTTAAAAAGCATTTCATAAGAGCAGATTTGTCTTTGGCAAGCATATTAACTAATAGTTCTTATGCAGCTTCCAGTCAGCATATTTTCTGATGGCTGCGGGAACCAAATTATGTAGCAAGCTATTTTCCTTATAAATATCTGCAATGCTGAACTGTATCTAGTTCATTACTGAAATGAGGTGTTTTGGGGAAAAAAGGATATTGATCAGCAAACTGTTTTGTACAGATGAACTTGCTTCAGAAGTTCCTTTGGATGTTTTGTCAAGAGCTGAATCCCATTTAAATGAAATTAGGAATACCATATTTCTCCAACTTCAGCCATTGCTTGGGTGTAAATTTGGTAAGTAATTGCTAAAATGTGTATTTCTGTGAGGGGTTTTAGTTTGTTTTGCAAACTGGGGAGAAGAACGATTAAACAGTGAACTGCATTTTTAGCCACTGCAATTTGCTTTCTTACATGTTCTCCCCTTTCCCAATTCTTTTGATAGAGCAGCAGAAGAAACATTCTGAGTTATATATTAATATATATACTAAAACATACTAAACTTGATCTGTTCATTAGCTGGAAACTTGATTATATTTGTCATTAATTTCTATGGTCAGTGTTTATATTCTTGCTACTTTCTGAGCCGTGTATTATTTACCTACTCTAAATCAGTCCACACAGCCAGCTTTCTTCATCTCATGAGGGTCGACCATTTGGTCCTGAAAAACACTCAAACTCAGCATGAAGACATGAGCTAATATTTTAGTCACTAGTATCTAATATCTGAATATTGAGCGGTATACTTCCTTTGAATATAAAGAATTTTGAGTTTCAGTTTAGTACATAGGAAGCAGCCATTTATTGAGACAAAAAGTAGATTTTTCTTGCTTATCCATACACCCATTAGCAGTAGCACACTGGGATTTTCAGATGAGTCTTTCCTGGTTCTGTATAAAGATGGTAGGGATTAATTCTGAAACATTTTTGAAAGCAAACCTTGTGTTTGTACAAGGCTGAATGTGGGGAAATCCTGGATAATGAAAACAAAGTAATGAACTATGGCATTTGCCACCAATCATCACATTGCTCTCTTAGACTAGATGACTATGGACAAGTTGATGAAAAATAAAGGTGCTAGTCATGATAGCTGTATATTACCTCCACTTTCAGAAGCACTGTTCCTCTGGATATCAGTTGCTAGGGAACCTGAACAGAAAGGTGCAGAAGTACTAACGTTTCTGGGCTTCTTGAAGGGAATAGAACTGTTTTTTGACTCAATGCAGTATTGTTGTTTTAAGCATTGGTGAAAAGGCAGAGAAATCATTTGAATATTGAAATAGTAAACAGGAATTGATAGTGCTATCCTGCCTTGCTAGATAGTTTTGCACTTTAGGAGCTCAAGACACTTCATTCTTTCCAGACCCTAGATGTAAGACACACTGTAAGCAGCGTTGTTTGAGACAGCAAAGTATGGTTTCTACTGCTTCTACAAACTCCACAAAGTGTCAAACTCCACAGAGACTAGTTTGTAACTGTTCAAATTGACAAAGAAGGAAAAGGAAGAAGGAACTGTTTAGTGCAAGGAAAGAAAGAAAAATGATCAAATGTGAGCCCCAAGAGTCCTTTATATTTAATTCTTGTAGCACCATATCCTAACTTTGGCATTAGCTGTACCAGCACTGTAATAATATTAATATTAATATTAATAAGTGGAAGAACTTGCCTGCAGAAGTTGTGAATGCTCCAACACTGGAAATTCTTAAGAAGATGTTGGATAACCATTTGTCTGAAGTGGTGTAGGGTTTCCTGCCTGGGCTAGGAAACCTCCAAGGTCCCTTCCAACTCTGTTATTCTATTCTATTCTAATATAAAATAAAGTATGTAGTTGATGAATTCCCAGAATGTTGGCTAACATTAGCAAATAATTTTCTGTTTAGTAAGCTAGTCAGTTTTCTACTTTTTATTCTGCATCAGCAAAAGGGTGTATATGAAGAGTAGAATTAGATCTTTTAAGTAACTGTTTTTTTTTTTTTCTTATATACGAACATAACATACACTGTACTGTACTGTACTATTACTTTATATCTGTAAAGCAGTGTGAAGCTACAACTTTATAAGAATTTGGCAGGATTTCTTCAATTCGAAGTTTATTTATTTAATTTATTTGCCACCCATCTTGCCATGGGGCTACTCTGGGTGGCTTACAACAATAAAACAGGTGGGGAGGGGAGATAACAAAATGTAAACATTTTGACAATCGCAAAGGAATAGAACAATAAAAATAATGGAAGTACAATAATATGAAATTAAGATCTGTGGAGGGAGAGCAGGAAGCACAGGAGGGAGGTGGGGTCAGTTAATTAGTCCAGGAGCCACCATCACCCCCAGTGATGTACTCCCCTATTTACATACTGTAAAGTTTATAGTGTCAGTTTCTGAAAAAAATGTATTTTAGTTTTTCGTCATTAGAAAGCACGATGTGTCATCTGTAGTCCGAATGTCTACTTGCAGATCTTTCTAACAAGAGAGATTTATATTAAATATAGATGTATCAATGCCTTTGATCCTTTCATCTCTTATCCTTTCATTATATGAACTATCGGCAATATATACTATGCATGTTACAGTAATATAAACTGGTTCAGAAATACTTGTTAGGAAAAGAATTGGCTCTTACAATTTCTTAACACTTAAAACACATTTTTAGAGAATAGAGTATAAGTATATTTAGAATTATATTCTTCACATCTCATTTGAAATGATCAACATTACATGTATTACAACTACATTTTTGTCTTGTGTTTTTCTTCAAAGGGGAGGAAGAAAGTCCAGTTTTTGCTTTTCCATTACTTCTGCGGAAAGATCCTCATATAGAGAATCTCTTTCTCCATTCTTTCTCCTGGAAGTTTGAATGTTTGCAGTGCGGCTACCATATCAACAATAGGTTAGTTTCTTTTAAGTTCTGCACTTCCTTCCTCCTTGGTATAACCATGCATTTCAATCAGTATTTCGCAAATAATACATTATACAGGCAGGAGAGGGCAGTTGTGAGCATGTGATTTGCCTACTGGGCATCTTGAGTCACAGCTCTGAAACAGCATAACCCTTTACTGTTTGAGAGAGGTTGAGTTTTTATTCTTGCCATTCAGGATTTATCCTAACTGATGTTATTGTATGCGTTGAGACATAAACGTAATTTTTAAAAATGTCTTAGTATATGTTTTCTCTCAGCATAAAATAGGAAGCCAATTACAGGTGGTAACTTCATCCTGAACTTCCCTTCAGTGTTAGCCTAAATTTACATCTTAGTTCAATCATTTTATTTATGATGGTCAAATCAATTCTTACTATCCCAGATTAGCATTCATATTTAGCTCTGCTGGATTCTGCTCTTTAAACTAAAGCAAAACATAAAGGATGAAGAAAAAATAAGGTATAAAATAGCAGGCGGGAAAACAAATACATTGAGACTACATATACATAAAAGTACAGTAATTTTCAGAAAAATCAAACACCCATATTCAATATTTTGATGCAGAAAACCCCATAATTTAATAGATGAAGGCATCTATTAAAAACTTAAATTTTCAAAGAGATAATTTGTACCAATTTGATTATTACCCATCTAAAATCTAAAGTAGTAATTGATATGAGATTTATACAGTTCTGTATCTTGATGGTTAAATTTTTATGTGTTTCTGAAATAGAAGTAAAATAGCTTTATTTTACAAAAAAATTCAGGTGGATTTATTGAATTCAATCTCAAATTATCCCTCCAGAGCTTAAAATTCCAGAAGATACAACTTTTATAATATTGAATAGTGTCTGAAGTAAATGTACCATTCTTTAAATATTAATTGTCCCAACTGATGACATCCTGTAAATATAGGAATAAATTATTAAACATGTTTTATTTGAATATATATTCATTTTATTTTTAGCTGTCAGCAGGCAATGACAACGTTTACAAATATAATCCCAGAGTGGCACCCACTGAATGCTGTTCATATTGCTCCCTGTAATAAGTGTAATCACACATCTCAAAGAAGAAAAATGGTTTTAGAAAAGTAAGTGAGAATTTTATTATAATCCCCTAATGAGATAAAACTACATCAGTAGTTGGTAAGCAATAATAAGTGACAGCTAATGTAAATTTTTAAGATCTGTATTTATGTCTTCTTGATTTCATAGTTGGGAGCATTATTGTTTGTATTCATCCATTAAGCCAAGCCATACCATATTTTTCACAGTGCATTCTATATTACTCTTAACTGTAATTTATTCAGTAAATCATGGTTAACTAACGTGGCTTAACATAATGTGTTAATTCAGTTCTTGAATGACATTATATAAAGAAGAAGTCAGTTAGGAAACGTATCTTCTTAAGAGTCTGCTCTTTAACAATTCTAAGTTACAATAACATCCCAAATAAAATTATATAAATTGTATTCATTTATATAATCTCACTTGAGGTGTGATTGCCAGATGTTTTGCATTCCTTAAGGTCTTTGTGAAAACTCATAGAAAGGTTACTGATATTTAGTTTTTAATCCCACTGCATGTTTTCAGTTTTGGTGAAGTAATTAACACCAGGGATATTTTTTACTTCTAAAATCACAAATTGTTATGTTTATTTGGTAGGATCTCCTCACTTCTGATGGTGCACTTTGTTGAAGGCTTGCCACATAACAATTTGATGGCCTACTCATTTCAGTTTCAAGAATATTCATATCAAGTAACAGCTGTGATTCAATATCAGAAGGCAAAGCACTTCATAACCTGGATCTTGACTTCAGATGGTAAGGATACTATTCCCCGTATCAGCGTTATCCTTCTTAAATATCCATCTATCTGAATTGGCTAGTAATACCAACAGTCAGGATAGGATAGGATAGGATAGGATTAGGATAGGATAGGATAGGATAGGATAGGATAGGATAGGATAGGATAGGGATTATAGGAATAGAATAGAATAGAAAAATAGAAGTAGAAATAATAGAAATAGGAATAGAATAGAATAGAATAGAATAGAATAGAATAGAATAGAATAGAATAGAATAGCTCTGAGGGAGAAGAACTTGTGGCTCAGAGGTTAATACAACTGCCTAATATGCAGGCAGCCCACGTTCGAATCCGAGTAAGGGTATGGCTAGCTGATGAGAGCTAAATAGCTTGAAATAGATCTATACCAGTCTCCCTTTATTTCTTTATCAGCAAATATAAATTTGGTATAAAATGGTTTATCGTGAATGCGATTGCTTGAGGGCTCCTGGATTGGAGCTGAAAGGCGAAAGGGAAGCAGTATGCTCCCTCCCATATTGGGGTAGCCCAGGTGCTTCAATAGAAAAACACTTTATATATATATAAAATAAATATAAAATAATATAAAATATAAATAATAATACAATGGTATCTGAGGCACATTTGGAGGAGACCAAGGGTTACAGAAATCTAAAAGACATTTTAGGAGCATAAAGATTGGGGGGGGGGATCAAAAGTGATAAAGGAGGGGGGTTGAATTAGCCTGAGAACATTGCCCCAAAATAGTGAGTGTGATGGTGAAGAAAGGTCAAGAGCATCCTTCAAAGAGGCTGGTTTGAAATGAAAAAATTCTAAAAAACCCCCCCTCTTGCCCCCCCCCCCCCCCCACACTACACAGACACACACACACAAACAGAGTCCTTGGCTTACAATAGTTCATTTAGTGACCATTCGAAATTACAGTGACACTGAAATAAGTGATTTATGACCACTTTTCACATTTACAACTGTTGCAGCATCCCGGAGTCATGTGATCACTTTTTGTGACCTTCTCACAAGCAGTCAATGGGGAAGCCAGATTCACTTAACATCCCTTGTTACTAACTTAACGATTGCAGTGATTCACTTAACAACTGTGGCAAGAAAGGTCATAAAATGGGGCAAAGCTCACTTAACAAATGTCTTGCTTAGCAATGGAAATTCTGAGCTCAGTTGTGATCATAAGTTGAGAGCTACTTGTCATGTCTCTTAGGATGTCAGTTCACAATTTCCTTACTGGCATTTTGGGCACGATTGTGGTCACAAGTCGAGGACTACCTGTATGTAACTGTTTATCCCTTTCATGTAATAATACAACCTGTATCGGGTGAAATCCAGCAGGTTCTGACAGGTTCCGGAGAACCCGTAGCAGAAATTTTGACCAGTTCGGAGAACCGGTAGCAGAAATTATGACCAGTTCGGAAAACCGGCAAATACCACCTCTGGCTGGCCCCAGAGTAGGGTGGGAATGGAGATTTTGCAGCATCCTTCCCCCAGGAGTGGGGTGGGAATGGAGATTTTGCAGCATCCTTCCCCTGGGGTGGGGTGGGAATGGAGATTTTGCAGTATCCTTCCCCTGCCAAGCCCACCAAGACATGCCCACCAAGCCACACCACGCCCACAGAACCGATAGTAAAAAAAAAATTGGATTTCACCACTGACCTGTATGTAGTACAGGACTACCTGTATGTATCCGTTTATCCCTTTCATATGATAATACGATGCTTCAAAGTACATGGGAAACAACCTTCCAAATAATTCCTGCATCAACACGTCTTTACATAGTTTCTAGTCAGAGCCAACCTCGTGGAACTTAAAGTCCAAAGAAGAGTTTGTAGGTGTCTAGGGACTAGTTTAGTATTTCTTTCTTGGTTTAATTGTATACAATATATAAAGACCTTTAGGGTAAATCTTCAGAGCAAGCCAAATCTAATTAGATTTTAGCTTGTTTTTTCTGATTTTTTGCATTCACAAAAATAGCTACCTATCTCAAAGAAGCAGAAAGTTCGCCCTACTTGAAGAAAATTAAAAGTAATAAAGTTAAAGGCACATCTTTTTGTGTGAATTACCTGATAACCACCTGTGCTTAATGGAGACTTACAGGAGACTTTAAATAAATTATAAGCAACAATTTTCTTGATCTCCCTTGGTGAGGACACAAGCCTCTAAGCAGACAAGCAGAGATGGCCTTGCAAAATATCAAATAATGATGTTTTTCTATTGAGACTCTCGATGGAATATTTGCGATTTACGTAGATGTTTGGGGAGGGAGAAAACATTTGAAAGTGACTCAAAACTTTTGTAGACCTATTAATAATTGTGATTTATATGAGACGCATATATTGCATAAGGTATAATCCAATGTCAATAAATAAGCCACAAGCTTTTATTGTGAGAATTCAATAAAAAATATTTTGAAATCTTGGGGGCGTTATGATTGGCTAACTGGTTTTCAGTTAAATCATGGAAACATGGTTAGTGGTTGACTGGCTATTCCTAGTTCTCTATCAAATTCCTAGAGCTGCAAATCAATAGGTATAGAGGAAGAATGAAAAAACAAACCAGATATATTTCAGTACACATAGTTCAAAATTATCCATTTTCAACAAACCATGCATAAATTATAGTTGAACATAGACATATTCAGTGAGTATTAAAGATTAGTTTATCTGAAATGAATGATAAGAAATGTACCCTAATATTCTGAATTGTTCATATTTTATTTTTAGGAATATGGCTTGAGTGTGATGACTTAAAAGGTTCATTCTCCAGAAGACACCATAACTTTGGGGTTCCTTCTGCAGAAATACATATTGTCATTTGGGAAAGAAAGCCGCCACAAATGACCAACCATCTGGATTTACAAGTTGATGAAACAATGGCAGCACAATCAAAAACTCCAGTTAAACACTCCAATGATGAAACTGCAGAGAGTGTACCTTTAACTTGTCACGAGGCAGTTGACATGCTGAACACACATATAGAGGAAATAGAAAATTTAGCAAGCAGTCAGAAAAATAATTTGCTTCATGGCTTGGACAACCTATCTGATGATGATGTTGTAACGTTGAATCTTGACTCAGGTGAACAGCTGTTAGAAAATAGACATATAGAAAATAAGCAGATAATCGCAACAAGTCCATTGCAGTTGCAAGAGATGGATCAGAAAGATACGTGCCCACTTACCCCTGAAGGAGATACTCAAAAGAGAAGTGTAGTGTTAGGAAATACCAGTGCTCCCATGCATGAAGGACAGCCATCTAATGCAAGTAACCTAGTTACTTTAAGTAATGGCAAAATAAATTTCTCATCCGAAATACTATTACCACAAGGGGCAGAAACTGCAGTTACCTTAGTTCCAGTAGAAGAGAGCAGCAATTACCATCCAAAGAATCCTCAGAAAAATACCAGCAAAACAAAATTGGGAAACACTGCCTTGGGAATGTCTAATATAGAGTTCGGTCAAGAAATAAAAATAAATTCCCACATTTCTGTTCCATCTCCCCAAAGTCCTACCTTTCACGCATCCAGTACAAATGGAATTAAGCCATCTGTAGCCAGTTGGGTAAATGGCTTACTTGGAAAATATTCTTCCTTTATGCCTAAAAGTGTGGTGGTTCCAAACAAATCAAAAAACTGTAAAAAATCAACGCAAAAAGAAACAAATTCTGGTTCGCTTGTTAGGCAAGCAGGCCACTTTGATGGTTTCCAAACTAAATCTTCACAGAAAAGTAAAGTGGCAACATTGCATTCTTCAGGTAGAACTCTTCCAACATCACCTCTGACTGCTTTTTCTCTTGCAAACATCCGTGTCAAAAATCTTGTCCCGGACAGAAAAGGTGAAGCTGTAAGTAAAAGATCAGCTTCATTGGATGCTTTTACTAAGCAAGATTTGTTGAAAAATGCCCACCATGAAAATCAGAATTTTATACCTGTTGAAAATACTGGGTCATTTATTGATAAAACTCATCAACTACGCTTAACACTTTTACATCAGCTTAAGGCTAAAAAAGAGAAATTAGCTTCACTCGATAAACTGGTAAAAGCTAAGACAAGACACAAAAACTATTGCAAGAAAACTATCAAGGACCAGGCACGAAAACAGATGGGACCCTTGCAGACAGGCTTGTTATATACCCAAGAAATGCAGGCTGATGTTTGGGATACTAAATCTGTTAATTCTCAAAGCACTGACATGTCCCAATGCAGCAGTTCAAATTACGATGACATTTTATCTGAGCTGCTTTTGTCTCCAGCTACAACTGTTGGTTCTTTAGAATTTCCACAGGAAGAGGAATGTAGATACCTGGAAATGGGAGGTGACAATTCAGACCTGCCGATATCTACTGACCAAAATACCAGCTTACAGGCCATAGATAATGACCTTAATTACTTCAGTCCTCGAAAGGAAAATGGACTTGAAGACCACAGAGACCCATCAGCAATCAAATCACCTCTGAAGAAATTTGATTTTGAAAGTTCTGTAAAACAGGATCTTCTGGATGATCTGTTTTCATGTTCATTGAATTCAATAGTAACTAACACTGAAGACTTACATCACTTTGATGAATCGTTGTTAGTTTGGTGAATTGTGTTTTAACAATTTCAGTATTTTTCTTTGGTTGTCTTTAAAGAGTATAATTTAAAATTCAACCTAATTTGCACTTGACTTTATTTAAAATGATTGTTTTTTATATTTTTATTCTTAATAAATTGGGTTTGTTTTTCTGCCTCAAAACCACTATTCACTGGAAGAGGTAAGACTGATTCTTGTACAAAGTCACAGTGATAAACGTTTGACACTTTAAAAGCCATTGTAATAAAGTAGTATTCACCTAAAATCTCTCATCTATGGCTGAGCTAAAAAATACTCTGCAAGCATCTCTAAAAATCTACCATGTTAATCATGGTATGGTAATTTCATTTCTGACAAATCTCCCTTTTCAAAAGTAGGCCTGCAGGCTAAACTAAAAAATTTAAAGAAGCCATTTTTTAAAAAATCATTTCCTGTTCCAGTGAAATGCCTATCTAAAATTTCGGTCTATTTAACAGTGTGAATGAACGTTAACATATAATCTGTCCTGCCTGTTGTTGTTTTGCTAAACATTAGGCCATAATGCAGATGAATTAGGTTAAGATTTAACTCAGAGATTTCTGCTAAAACCCAGGGATCTGTGAACCCTATAAATCCCCAATCCTGTGAAATGTGGTTTTGAAGTATTAAAGCAACTTCTAAAGTTACAACCGTATTTCTTTTTCTTCTATAGCTCTTTGGGTCTAGTATATTAAATATTCTACCCCATCACCTGCAATACAAGATGGCAATTCAGTTCACACAGACCTGATATAGATAAATACAGATTAATTTTCTTTCTTTTTTAGTTTAATTACATATCATTACAAATCTTATTGCTTAGTAGATTGTGTGCAATAGGATAGCCATTGTTACTCCTGGTCAGAAAAGTCCACTTTTAAAAGTGCCACACTACTATTTGCAGATTACTAACATCAGGCTTTTTGCAACACTTAGTTAACACAATTTTTACTTCATCATCTCATCCTAAAATTTTGTTTCTTGGATGATAAATATCAAAAATTATAAGAAATATAAATTATGCTTTAGTTTTAATTATTTAGATTACTCCAAGAGATGACACCATCTAGCAGTTTGGTTAATTCTGAAAAGAAGTAAATACACATACAAGCATACCTCTAGAAGTAAGTGAGTTAGCCAATCTATTTTCTCCAAAAGATGGGAATTTTGTTGCTAAATAAATACACTTAGTTATGAGCAATCGAGCTTGACCCAATGAAGACTTTGCCTTACTTTCATTGTAGGCTAACTTGATGTTTTAAAAGTACTGTTACCTGATTTTAATATTTTCTTGTGAAAATATTTTACTGGATTTCTTTTTTTACTGGCCTCTTGGGCAATTGTGTTTTAATTTGGTTTAATGATTAAGGCAGCAGGCTATAAACCAGGAATATTAATCCCACAATTTCTGAAAGCAAGCTGTTCCACTGGTTAATTGTTCGCACTGTCAGGATATTTCTCTTTAGTTCTCAGTTGGTTCTCACCTTGATTAGTTTCCATCCATTGCTTTTTGTCCTGCTTTCTTGTGCTTTGGAAAATAGGTTGATCCTCTCTACTTTCTGGCAGCCCCTCAAATATTGGAACACTGCTATCATGTCATCCCAGTCCTTTTTTTTCACTAGACTAGACATAACCAATTTGTGCCACTGTTCTTCATAAGATTTAGCTTCCCCCTCTCTAATCTTTGTTTCTCTTCTCTGCACTCTTTCCAGAATCTCAACATCTTTATATTGTTGCAACCAAAACTGGATGCGGTATTCCAAGTGTGGTCATATCAAGGCCTTATAAAGCGGTGTTAACACTTCATGTGATCTATTCCTCTGTTAATGCAGCCTAGGATTGCATTGGCTTCTTTAGCAGCTGCAGCACACTAGTGGCTCATTTAAGTGGTTGTCTATTACGGTAGAACTCCTAGATCCCTCTCACAGTTGCTGCTATTGAGCCAGGGTCCACCTATTCTCTATCTGCACATTTAGTTTTTCTTACCTAAGTGTAAAACCATTTCTCATCATTGAATTTCATTTTGTTAGATAGGGCCCACTGTTCAAGTCTGTTGAGATCCTTCTGGGTCTTGAGCCTACCTTCTGGGGTGTTGGCTATTTCTGCCAGTTTGGTGTCGTCTGCAAATTTGATGAGTTCCCCTTCTATTTCCTCATCTAAATCGTTTATGAAGATATTGAAAAGTACTGGGCTAAAACAGAATCTTGGGGTACCCAAGACAAGACAGAAACTTGGAGTACTTAAGATAACAACTTACAATGGAAATTATGGTATGTGTTGTATAAATTGGAATGTAGTACTATAAATTCCATCATAAATCGTAATCATGAGTTGAGTTACCATGCTCAGAATTGTGAGTTTAGATTAACCAATAGCATTTAATGGTAAAAAAAAAAGGTAAATCACAATTGCATGAACGTGGGATGCTGCAAGCTGATTACAAAGTGCCTGAATTGCAATTCCACAAACATGTTTTTTTTTTCACAGACCATTATGCATTTTCATTGTCAATAAGCAAACAGTTGTAAGTTGAAAACTGCTAGTATTAAACTGGCTGTTCTGAAATTGGGTTGAAGAAGAAGTGCATTTATAGAGTTCAAATGACTACAATGAAGATTACAAATTGCGGTGGGTGGGTGTCATAGTTCAAAAGTAAAGACCCAGCACTAAAATCATGAGTCACTGCTGCACCTTAAAAGAGTGGTATCCCTATAATAATGATTTTCAGTGAAGCACCATTATTGGAGAAGATGGATTAAGAAGAATTTGGATTCTAAGGCACAAAGAAATCATCACAGTTCCAGCAGCTAATGGGGTTGTTACAAACACTACATTGTGTAACAATTCTACTTGCAAATACTTTTATTTTGACCAATTGACTATGTATAAATTGTCATAGAATGTAAGAGTCACAGAGACTTTGAAGATTGTGTAGTCTTAACTTACTGACCAATGCAGGAATCCACTACAGAA